CGCGCTCCGACAGCCCCGGCCTCGGAGCTGACGCGTCTCCCTGAGGAGCCGCTTTCCGCTCGGAACTGGAGTAGGCGTGAAATAATGTCTGAAGCTCTTCTTTTATAAGGAAAACGGGGTAACCGGCACCTTGAGGAAGGGAGGAGCAGCCGCGGGGGAGAGAAATGACCCCAAATCTTGCGGCGGGACCCTGAGGGCTCCTCTCCTCACGCCCTTCCTGCCCAAACCCTAACCCTAACCTGCCTAACCCTAACCCCACCCGAGGTCTTACCCTCCTTTAGCGTTCATACTGGGATTCAGGATTTCCAAATGTCGGTAATACGTGTTTTTTTGTTGGACTTCTCCTGTGAAGCTGTTGCAGGTGTGTGTAGTCAGGACTTGCTGCCATCGCTGATACCCTGTCAAGAGAATAATCGGCACAGCAGCTTCACTTCTGTGCCTCTTTACAGGATAAACACACCTTGTGCTTTTTTTTTTTTTAAAAAAAAGGATGTTATAACCCATGTTATTTGATCCAAGGTTTATGGTATTTTTTTTCCAGCTCTGAAGATGTGTGTTTGCATAGGCTAGCACAAAGGACTTGGTTGAACAGATTAGATCTTTAACTTGGGAATTGCTTTTGTTGCAAGGGCTTCCTGTCTGATAGCTGTATGTATGGCAGGAAAAATGCTCTTCTCTCTCCAGACGCAAGAAAAAACACATACTAGACAACTCTTAAGCCTTTCCCACATATGCGTTCAGACTGTGAGGTGCCTAAATATATATATTTAAAGGAATAGGTTTCTAGTACTTAGAACCTTTGCTCAGTTGGTGCTTAGCTCCCTGAAGACTTCCATGCTGTTTGCCTCTGTAGAGCAGTCTTAACTCTTACTCCAGGGGCCAATTATTGTCTTCAGAAATAGGAGTTTTACACCTATATGTCAGTAGTCAAAGGATATATGTAAAGCTGTGTTAAAACAGGAGATTTTTTATGCAGTCAAGACAACTGGAAGACAGAGGCAAGAATGCTAGAAGTCTCTGCTAATAAGCAGGTACTGTATAGCAAGATAGTCAACTTCTGGCAGTTTGGTATTCATACTGGTCATTAACCCACCTGCAGGTTCACCCCAAGTTGAACAAATGACAGGTCAGCTGCTGTCCTGCTCAGTGGGAGAGAGGGCACCTTGATGGATGGTTCTTTTTTTTTCCCTGCACTTAAAGGAAGGCCACCCTGTAATGCACTGTTAGTACTTTGCTAACTGCACGTTAACCTTTTTTTATCTCCTTTGGTACATGGCCAATGCATGAGAGCCCTTATCAGAATATGTATTTTTGGTGAGACGAAGAAGTGCTCCTTGTTTCAGGTCACTGTGTCCTGGTCTTGTATCGAAGCTTTCTGTAGCAATGCAGTGTCATTTCAGGAAAAAATCTTATGCATATCAGCAAAAAGACTCCTCACAGCTGCAGTGATCAGCAAAAACAAGAGTTTAAGACATTGTATTGCACAAGGGTGAGCGATGAGGAAATCCCTGTGTTAGTTTGTGAGAAGGCATAAGCCTGCATTAGCCGTAGCAGTCCTGTGGCAAGGCTGGCAGCAGGAGACATCACTCTAGCAGAGTTTTGATCTGTTGTATTACAGGAGTTGTATTTCAGAAAATACATACTGTATCTCTGTGGTTCTTCTCTTCCAAGCCTGCATTCTTGTTCCACAGGAATAATGGTCTTGTGACAGAACAATTTATTTTAATATATGTTTTTTTTCTCGATATTGCTGATCTTGACACGGCTTCAGTTTTCTCTAGTCTTTGCTCTCCCTCTTCCTTTGTAGTTTTGTTCTTTGCTTGCTTGTTTGTTTTTTTCTGTTGGTCAGGGCTGCTGTGTTTAGTTCCAGTTAAGATTAATTAAGTGTTTGTAGGGGAAAAACCTGCCAATATTATTTTTTTTTTTCTGTCATTGTGGTAGTGTAATAAGACACGCGAGTGAGGCAAATAAGCAAATCCTGCCTTGCAGGCTTTAGGATCTAAAACAAACAAGGTTAGAAAAGAGAATGAAATGCCAAATCTTGAGTGAGCTGTTGTGCACAGCTCATGCAGATCCTAGCTGTGAACCGTACCTGAGGTTGGGAGCAGCAAAAGCACAGAGAAAGGAAAGAGTATTGGGAAAAAAAATAAGCTAGCTTGAGAGGATATATGGTTGTTCTTTCCTGAGTAAGGTAGAGTAGGGCAAGAAACAGTCAAGGTCATCAATAACAAAATGGTATAGAGCTGTAGTCACGTGCATCTAATTGAGATAGAGGCATTTGAACAGTGACAGGATCTGTAGTTACAGGTGATTAATATACCTCTGAACTTCAGACCTTGAGGTGACTCTTAGTCCAAAACTGCCAGCATGCAAACAAATCAGATTTTATGTAATTTGAAGGATTCAATTAATTTGAATCAAATCAAATAATCAAAATGTCTGAGTATTCAAAATCATATTTCTGCTTCTGAACAAGTTGTACTTTGAAAGGTGTTCCAGGAAGAAATAGGAATGATAATTAGGAGAGGTGGAGTAAGAAAACATAAAGCTGTCTAGTTATCACCAAAACAACATTCTACATCCATGAGTCAATTCTTAACAGATTACTCAGTTTTATCCTTTAGCTGGAAGGATTGAGAATGAACGTGGGATATTTTCAAACTGGCATGGGATGTCATAATAATAGATGTAATATTTTTATTTTTTCACTGACATTCGCCTGGAGTGATTTTGCTTCTGAAGTGTATTTGCAGCTAGTGTCCTGTCTGACTTAAAACAGAAATTAAAAGATGCAATTTGGAGTTGAATATTATTTCTAGGGGTCACAAGTAGTCTTTAAATCCACTTCTTATGGTTAAATTAGTCATGAAGACATCTGTTTTGATTATTTGTCCTGCTGTTTTATACATTTGTACTTTCTGATGATTGCACAATATTTTCAAATAATTAATAATAATTTGTATTTACACAGTAATAACTGAACTTTCTCTTCGAAAGCAAACCATATAATCTTACAAGCTCATAACCTGTATGTTTTTTTTAAGACTTAGCTCTACCACAGGAGTAGCAGAAAATCAGCCAGAATGTGGTTGCAAATGAGTATGGCACAAGACAGATCGAAGAGTAATAACAGGAAGAACCGGTAACAACCAGGGAGCTGAATTTGCTTTGGTTTTCCTTTGCAGTTTTGAGCACACTCATCTGTAGAAACTGTGTGTATACCTCTCTCCCAATTAGTTTAATTTAGTTGGAGATACTTCATTGTAACATTCAAGCTTTTAATTTCTATAATAGCAGACTTTAGTTTCTGGAAGGCTGAGAATTTTTGGTCTAATTAAAAGTGTGAGAAATTTGATGGCTTGTGATGGATGTATAACACTAGATCAGATGTTGACTCATGTATAAATGATAAAACATATACTTAGTAATTAACTGCCTTTAAAGTGTTTCTTTAAAATACTGAGGGGAAAATAAATCAGAAGGCATCTGACTAAACAGATTAAGGATCTAATTTTGCATTACTTAAGAGAACACAGTCTCTATTTTAAAGTGGAAAAAGCTAGAAGATTCATAAGTTGGAGATGAATGATGTATGGTGTTCTTGGTAAATGATTTGTACTCCTTTTCAGCAGAAGTTATTTTTTACATGTTTTCATGTTCCTAGATGCATAGATATACATGTAGTGTGGGTGATTGCATATTGACCTTTCAAAATCCCCATACTCAGGGTTTTTGTTCTCTTAGTCCACAAGTTCATTGTTGGAATAACAAAACTGTTTGTAAAATTTGTGTTATCCCAAAAAAGGTGTTTATTTTGTGGCTTGTTTTTTTCCCTAAAGGTAGAAGTTTCTAGCTCAACTTATATTGAAATTTGTCACTTGCTCTCTGTGTGTTGTTTTTTTGAGTTATTTTAACTATGCATGGATTTACCTTTCTATAAGAACACATATGAATTAACAAAAGGGAATTTCTCCATTTGCATTTGTAAAATGTTGGGTGCAAACATGGATAGAAGACTTGGTAAGAAAGTCCTGGGGTAGAGAGTTTTATAATTATTTCAGCTGTTTATGTTTTGTTGTAGATTGTGATTTGGAGTCGTGGAGAATTCACAGTCTTTCCACAATGGGAGAAAGGACAGATTGTACGAAGTCGCATAGTTCGCTGGCTGAATACAGCCCCGTCAATAAATCAGACAGGACAGATCCAAGGGACAGCTGTGAAATTCAGGATGGAAACCAAAATGCAATGCAACTGAAGAAAGAAATATCTTTGATAAATGGGATAAGCCTTATAGTAGGCAACATGATTGGTTCAGGTATCTTTGTCTCTCCCAAAGGAGTTCTCATCTACAGCAAATCTTATGGACTGTCTCTAATAATTTGGGCAATTGGAGGGATTTTTTCAGTCTTTGGAGCTCTCTGCTATGCTGAACTTGGAACCACTATTACGAAGTCAGGAGCCAGCTATGCATATATCTTGGAGTCTTTTGGGAGCTTCATTGCTTTCATTCGTTTGTGGACCTCACTCCTAATTGTTGAGCCAACTAGTCAGGCAATTATAGCCATCACCTTTGCTAACTACATAGTTCAACCCTTCTTCCCTTCTTGTGATCCTCCATATTTGGCTTGCCGTCTCATAGCAGCTGCTTGTGAATGTAAGTATTTCTTGAAATTTACTATGGTATTTTTTGATCCAGGGTTAAGCTTTTGTTAAAACAAATCCTGCTAAGTCCCAGAGTTGTTGCAATGGTTTGAAGTTAAGGCCGGAAAAGAACATTTCCAGCACACGACTAACTGGCAGGAATTAGGTCAGTGAATTACCACTTCCTTGTTCAGAAGCAGAACAAGATGTTTAACTATTTCATGTTTGCTTATGTGGGAAAAATGGGTGGAAAAGTTTGCTTTCCCTCAGGTTTATTAAATCAGGAGAAATTTTGTGTGCCATAAAACATTGGAGTGTTTGTAATTGGAGAGCTAGCTCTGTTACATGAACAACTGACCATGTGCTTTAAATCAGGACTTTTCTGCTGTATCAAGAGAATGAAACTGTTTGATTGTACTGTGTGTGTCTTAATTTTAGGGATTTCCTGTTAAACATGTACATGTTTTACATTTCCATTGAACAGTGAAATACACATTTCAGAAAGTCTATCTGGCAAATCCTTCATCACATACAGATCATCATTGCCGTGTGCTCTGGAGACTGCCACCCCTCTTGGCCTGATGCTTTTGTCATAAAGCTATAATAGAACTTGGGCTTTTTCACTGCCAACAATATGCTGCAGGACAGAGATGTGCTGCTTCTAGCTGGTTTCTTTTTGAGGCAACAAGAAGTCTGTTGAAGTATCTCTAGTGTTCCTTATTACAGTTGTGTATGGAGGACTAGAAGAGGGGAAAGACAGAGAGAGAAGTAGTGTGTGCTCCAAATATTTGACCTCTATAACTAGTTGTGATCATTATAGCTTCCCCTTCCACTTTCATATATTAATTTGTTACTGTTGGCAAGGCACTGATGTGCTGGTCCAGGTCCAAGTAGTGGGAAGAGAATTCACAAAATTCTTCCAAAAAATCTGTCAGTTTACTTTGTTCCCTCCTTCCCCCTTCAGGAGAGGAACAAAGGACTTGTATTGCCATGTTCACATTCTTTAAACAGATACTGTCCCAAGGTATCCTGGCACAGATTCAGGAATGTGAGGGAATCTGCTCTTCCATTTAAGGTATCTCACATATGAGGGGAGTTAGCCCTTATGAAAAGCAGTTTATCAAAAAGCAAGAATTAAGACAAAGTGATGAAATTGAAATTATATAGTAGACATAGACAATGTGATATCTTCTACACTTGCTTCTAGGAGAGGGGATTTAGTATCTCTTTTTTTAGTGGAGACATGTGAAAGCAAGATCACTGTCTTGTAGGTGGAACAACGTACTTTAACCATAAACTTATGGTTTAAATGCTTGTTCTACCCTGCTCTATGTATCAGTGCTGAGACTTGCACCCCTGCTCTACACCTTCCTTGAGCTGATCCTATTAAAGCCTACACTTCTCCCTGGCTTGGCAGGGCTGATATTGCTTGTCAAATCCTTAGCTCTGGATATGATTAATATGTTACTAATGAAGTTGCTGGGAGTGGAACTCTGAGCATTGATCAGGGACAGATTGAATGTGGGAATAGGTGGGTTTGTTGTGTGGGTTTCTTTTTTCTTTTTCTTTTCCTTTTTAACTGTAATAATAGCAATACTAGATCCAGTGTGAGATCCGTCTTAAGTGTTCTACAGCATTACTTTGACAATCCTTTTGGTAAATCAGGTGGTATCTGGTGCTACAGAACTAAACCTGACAGTTCTCGGGGACTTTTAAGTAGCAAAACTACAAATAAATTTAAAAAAAAAATCTAATAAAAGAAAGAGGGAGGGGATGTGTCTTATTCAGATTGTTTATTAACTTTTTTCTTTTAAGTTATCAGAGAGAGTATAATTTCATCTGAAGCAGACACAATGTCCTTTCATTAAAAGAAAGAGTTAATGATAATTACACCCAATGGAAGTTGCTTAAAAAAATAAAATTAATAGCTGAAATAAACCCTGTGTGAGCAAATACCCCATGGATAATACCAAACATTAGTACTGAAGAGCAGGGCCTGAAGAGAATTTGTTTTTTTTCCTGAGGACTCTGTGGGAGCTGCAGCCATCCTGACTTTTGAAATCTGATACAACTGTTTTTTCCTCTCATCTTGCCAAGCTCAGTGGAATCTCCTTTAGCTATTCCACTTGGCCAGAGTGTCTAGTATACCAGTGCTACGCTTTCGAGAGCATTACCTTTCTTTTCTTATCTTTTAAAAATACTTAACTTTTCTATTTGATAACTGTGTTAAGTACATTTTTATCTTAATAGAATCGTGTTATTCTTGGAATGTGGGAAAGGAAGTAATTTATCACGTCTTTTCATTTTGATTTGCTACTAGCTTACTCCTCAAAGAATCAAGTTGAGCTTTTATTTACATGCATATTTAAAATACATAGTACAAGAAAATAGTTTGGAGATTAAGTACAATAGAATGTAATGATTTTTTTACTAGCTAGAGAAAAGTACATTTCAGGAAAATATTTAAACTTCTGGGTTGGCATCAATATTGTAATGATAATTAGTATTTATTAGTATTTATTAGTATTTATTAGTACTTATTAGTACTTATTAGTACTTATTAGTATTTATTAGTATTTATTAGTATTTATTTTCAGTAAAGAATACTGAAGATACTGAATCCTGTTCAATATTCAGCATTTGAATTCAGGCAGAAGTTGTTTGGCTCTCCACCTGAGAAAAAAGTCATAAATGTAACAGCAAAATGTTGAGAGCCATAAGAACAATGTATTTCAACAGTAGCTTGGAAAGTGCTTATTGGGGAAGTTGGTCACATGAGTAATGTAGTCAGCCACTGTTACTGAAATATTTAAGTCTGCAAGTCTCACTTCAAGTTCCATTACAATCATGTGAAATAGGTCTGACTGATTTGTTTTGGGATAGAGGGAGGAATATGTTCAGAATACTCATCACGTGCTACTAGTTCTTAAAAATGCAGATTAGTATTGCATGTAAAGCACATGTTATTTGATCAGATCTGCTCTAACATCACTTACTAATACAGTTTACTACAACTGGAGGAGAGTATTGAATTGCCTGTGACTATATTCAGTATTGCAAATGCTCTATGGATGTTCAACTCAGACTAAAAAGGAAGGGGGGAAAAAATTTTGCACACACTATTTTAATGTATTTGTGTAGATGATTTTCTAGATAATCTTTTGTTTTTCAGAACAATATGATACATTGAATTTCTTCTTCTAGCTCCAGGAGAGTTGCAGAGTGCAGCTGGTGAAGGGTAACACTAGGAAAATGGGCATGTAATCAGGGAAGGGGAAAGTCTTTCCTTCCATCTTTTGAAGCAGTGTGCTTAGACCATCTGTTTCCTACTGTTTTGTTTAAACCAGTGTGTTTTCTGTACCAGTGTACTTTGTTTAGTTTAACCTAAGTATTGGAGTAACAGGCAAGTGCATATCTAGATTATAACTTAAAATAGATGAAAAATGAATTGAACTTAATATTGTTTAAATGGTCCCTTAATTTTCCTTTTTTCTTCTTCTTTTTTTTCCCTAGGTCTTCTAACATTTATAAATTGTGCCTATGTTAAATGGGGAACAAGGGTACAGGATATATTTACTTATGCTAAAGTCGCTGCCCTTATTGTCATCATCATAACAGGAATTGTTAAAATATGCCAGGGTAAGATTATAAAATCAAAGCAAAGGTTTGTATTTATCAGCTAAACTGAGTAATTAATCTAAAGACTGTAAAATCTGTTTTATCAGATGCCTCAGTATAAGCATAATATAGCCACTTTGAAAACAAATAATACCAATGTTAGGCATTATCATGATATTATATCACAAGAAGCTATCCTATCTCAGTTGACTTTGAACTGGGTAAAAGAAGGCTGCTGATTGCTCAGCAGTATTGTGCAATTTACAGCCTACAATATGGAATAATAAAGGAAATTAAAACACTGAAATACAGAGTTAGCAAAATACAATGGGAGTGGAGAAAGCTGTAAATTTCTGAGAGGAACATGCTACTTCACAATGAGATCATTTATATTTTTTTTTTACAAAATGAATTTCATGCCAGTCTGAAAGTGACTGAACTTAAAGTAAAACTAGATTTGGAAGAACATGTTAGTAGATTGTGAAACAGCAGCTCTTCCCCCCAAATCCTGAGTTCTATTCTAGCTGTTGAGAATTAGAAAGTTGCTGGGGTTTTAGATTTTTTAATTTTTTAAAATTTGTGTGTCTTGGTCATTGTGCCTTCAAGTTAGAGGAATTCTGAACTTAGTTTTGTTCTTATCCCTTCCTTTGGGGAGAATTTAATCTGTCACTGCCAGTTGTTTGTGGCTTAGTCTGAACTTCATGTTCCTGCACTTTTTGTGCTGATGTGGACAAACTAGATGTTTAATTATAGAGCAGTATCATCCATGGAGCTTTACTTTTTGTGGTTTAAATGCCATGCTTATTCTCATGGCTGAACTGCAAAGTAGAATTGGAAAAAGGGTTTAATAAGAAGCTTTCAAAGAATTAGGGTTTCTGAGGGGTTTGGGTTTTTTTGTGTGCCAAATTTAAAAAAGTATTATTATCTTGTACTTCATTGCATATCTTCCACACACAGGACATTCATCACAGTTTGAGAACTCTTTTGAGGGATCCTCTTTTGATGTCGGAGACATTTCCCTCGCACTCTACTCTGCCCTTTTTTCTTACTCTGGCTGGGATACACTCAATTATGTAACTGAAGAGATCAAAAACCCTGAAAGGTAAATGACTTGGGCTTTCTAAACCTGAATAGTTCCCAGGTTGCCCATTTTGTGGCTATCTTTCACTCATGAGTTTTGATCTTAGGTAGAGCTGCTCTGTACTTAGATTTTAAAACTGAACAGCCACTTGAAAGAGTTTCTAGTTTTAAACTCCATTAAAAATGGAGGAAAAAAAAATAAGAATAAATCTTGACGATTGCAGGATGCTGTATTCAGTGCTTGATAAGCTTTCAGTTGGAGATATTTCTACTGTTTTCTACAATGGGTGTTAATATTGCAGTGAAACAGAAGTGTAGTTAGTGTGTGCTGTGTTTATCTGTGCAATGATACTGACTTCATATTTAAGAATGTTACCTTTTCCATAAATTTATGCTATAAAAGTGTGACTGACTCATCTTGTTCAGTTGTGAGTAAGCAGATGCCTTGATGTTAAAAATAGAATCCCATTAGATCATTTTTATTTCTTATTATAAGCAACAGCTCAGATTGCTACAACTGAAAAGTAAAGAATGAAAGAGATTTTTTTATTTTTTTTCAGTTATCCCAACTGATTTTGACTTTTGCAAGTCAAGTGAGTTCTATACTGTGCATTTATTTAACCAGGGAAGTTTCTAGTAAAAAGATAAAATAGCAGATAAGTATTTTAAGTCTAAAAATAGTTATTTTTAGTCAGACTAAATTTCAGGTTGACAGTGTTTCCTTAAATTATCTTGAAGGATTTGTTATACCTATTCAGAAAAGATGTATGTTTTGTGTTTGCATTGGTCATTTGGTCCTTCAGATTTTTTTTTTTCTGCTGAAAGAGCATTACTTTTGCAGGGCCTTTTCATCTTTTTAAAGTTGGTGTATTGTTCTGCCTTCTCAGTTGGATAACTCTTGTATTAGATGCAGTGTTCTGAAAAATATTCTTTCTTACAGAATATTCAGCTGATGAAAATATCTTTAGATTGGTTTGCTATTGACAGGCATCAGTGTGTAATACAAGCTTCAGTCTTGGTAACAATTGTAGGTGATAAAGCAAATTCCAGCTTTCTACACTGACAATTTTGAGGAATAATGAAATGTGCCAGACTTCTATAAAATAACTCCAAGAATTATACATTTTTCATAATTACTCAATTCATAGAGTCCTTGTGCTTGTCCAGTCCGAATTTGAGACCCACATGTTAAATTTGGACTAATCCCTTGGTTTTTAACTTCGGTGATAAAAAGTACTTAAAATTGAAGTTCAGCTTTTTGTTACCTTATGTAACATTTATGAATTAATTTCTAAGGGTTTTCTAGTTCTGTTTCTTCTCTGTGCTGTGGTGCTCAGGTCTCTTCCTGTGAGTGTGCAACCAGTTACTAATTTACAGATTTATATGGTGGGGTGTGGTATGTGTTTGTTTTTCTGTTTCCACAGCATCAGACAAATCCAGCTGGAGTTCTGGGCCTCAGGAATTTTTTGAGGAAAATTGCAAAGTACATTTCAGTTTTCTGCTTTGTTGGGCTTTTGTTGTGGGGATTTTTTTTGTGGGTTTTTTTTCGGTGTTGTTATTGAAAGCCATGTTCATGGCAAGTGCTCATCCATGTCACCATGCCTTGTTTGATTTCAAATTGGGCAAATGGGAGAGTAACACTCTCAGTTCTGCTTTCCCTTTTGAGACACTTGAATATCCCTGCAAGCTTTGGGAAAGGGATAAGGCTGAGAAAAGCCAAAGCCTAAAATTAAGAGTTTGCTTCTGCCCTGCAGAGTTTCTCCCTCTGGAGCTGCAGACGCAGAGGTGTGAGTTTATCTCAGCTTTAAATTAAATTTTATCTGTTTACATCTGAAGGTTTGCAGCGTTTTCATGTTACTCTAGACTTTGTTTTGGTATTACTTTCTAGAAATACGTTTGCTAGTAAGATATACCACATACAGAAGTTCACAGCTGGCAGCAGTTTTGGATCTGCCCTCTGCATCTCTGCTTTCTGCAGTTATGCAGCCCAATTAGTGAGTTCTGGGAAGTGATGAGTGAAGATAAGACCAGGGGCTTGGTTTGGTTTAGTAGATTTCTCTGCACCAATTCTTGAAGTAGGTGCTAGAAGAGCAGCAGCATTCTCCAGGGAAATGAGTGCAGAGACTTGAGCTCTGTCTCTTTGGGTTCTAGTTGTGGTGATTAACAGGACCAGTAAGAAATAATTTAAAGCATGCAAGTTTTAAGGCTGTTACTACTGAACTGGAAACCCTGAAGTTAGGTTAAGGAAACTGGAAATGGAGTTGCATAGAATCCCTTTTTACATTTAGGTGTTAAGTTACTGCAAACGATTCAGAATTTTCCAATATTCTATACTAGAATTTCTAGTTTTAAAAGAAACCAAAATCTTCCAGAGATAGCTATTTTGAAATCTTTATTCTGTCTTCATACCTTTTATCTCCAGGGTAAAGGATGCAAATAAATAAATTTACTCTGTTATTAATGACATTTTTTTTCCTGGGTTGTGAGTTTTCTTTTTTATTACAGGAACTTGCCACTGGCTATTGCAGTGTCTATGCCAATTGTGACTGTTATTTATATTATGACCAATATAGCTTACTACACAGTCCTGGATGTGGAATCTGTGCTTTCTAGTGATGCTGTGGCAGTGGTAAGTTGACCGTGTGGTATTTTGCTACATTATTTACTTTTAACCTTTTAGAGATGCATTTCATTTGGAGGAACAAACCAGGAAACATCCCTAGTTTATTATAGTACTTCACTGAACACAGGAGGACAGAACAACTCATCATGTCATCATGAATAATTTAAATAGAAAACTATGTATTGAAATAACATACAGCAATAATATCAGAATTATTGCAACAGGCACAGATGCATCGTGTTACTGTATTTTGCAAAGAAGCTAATTAGACTTGTACACTTTGAGCTGATTGCAAATTAGACTCATTAGTACATAATTATCCACTCTGCTTCTTCATGCTACAGTAGTTAGAAAGTTGGAGCAGGACTCAGAACAGTGTTGCCCTGAGCTACATTCTGCTGATCTAATCATTGGTGCAGTGCATATCTAAATGGACACACTGTAGCTCAGCTATGACAAAATTTAGCTTTGTATCTCTTTTATAATAATTTTAATCACTGGCTTACCAGCATTTTCTTAATTCCAGCATCTTTTGATATTTTGAAATGAATTTTTTTGGTATATACATGGAAGTTTGAATCCAATTAAAATATATAAGCTTCTTAAAAGAAAAACTGGTCAAAACATGTACTAATATAATAAAATTTTGCCCTGTAGCTAGTGAATTAATTGGATAGTTCTGGTTACTATATCCTTTAGATTTGAGACTTGGAAAATTTAATCTTTTTGGTTATTTATATTGCAGTAAAATAAATAGCTTTCCCTCTGTTTTAGATTCCCAATTGGCTTCTAAAACTTAAGTTGTTAGACAACAGACAGCTTTACATATTTATATTGGTTATTTATATTGGTTATTTATATTGGAAGAAAATAAATAACTTCATATTGGTTATTTATATTGGAGGAAAATAAATAGCTTTCCCTCCATTTTAGATTCCCAAGTGGCTTTTAAAACTTTAGTTGTTAGACAAGAGACAGCATTAAATACATCAAAATGAAGGAAGTATCCTGAGTTCCCACAGAGGATTACTATGATTAAAAACTGGCATAGCAAATCAGCAAACTTGTTTCAGGTATTTAGGCAGATGGTTCCACAAAAGCTTGAGAGGTATTTTAGGTAAGCTTTCAAAATAGTTTGTGGTAAATGTGGGTTGTAACTTGTTATTTCCAGTGTAATTATACACATATTTATTGAAGGAAAAAAATATTTCTTTGCCTCTTTTAAGCTGGAATATACAGAACTGTAATAAAATATATTTTGACATCTTGGTAAAACACTTCAGATTGAAACAAAACAAGAGCAGAAAATATTTAATTTTTAATCAGCATATGGTCAGGGGTAGTAAAATCTCCAGGAATAATTATTTCTATTATAGGCCATAATATCCCATATGAAGTGCCTTCCAGTGCCTCATAGTGGAATTTTTAATTCTTGTCTAGAATTAATTAATCCAGACAAAACTAAAAGTCAATGCACTGTCCATCCTGACTTCTGCAAAGCAATACACTTGTTGTTTTTTTTCCTAACAAAAACTTGGAAAATACACTTCTTTGATAGCAGTGAAATTCTGCAGTCCAGCCTGTTCCCTAAGACTACTCTGTGCCCGCTCTTCTGCTCCTGGCCTCTGTCATCAGAGCTATTTGGTCAATGGGATCAGGAAAACTGATCCACCGTGGGACAGTCCAGAGGACTTCCACTACTCTGGGTAGTGGAAGAGTTTCATCCTCAATGGAATCTTTAAGAAGACTTGTGGTCAGTGGATGAATTAAAATAAGAATTAAGCTGATTCAACAACTAATCTGATGAAAATCAGCCACTTTCACCTGGTTAGATATTCTACATGTGGTACATGATACAGACTGCTGTAGTTTCCTTATTGGCCTCTATGTAGTTGTAGGATGAAAATTATAATAATGAGTTTTTAAAGAAACCTGGTAGTAATATTGCTGCATTTCTGAGCCTTTTGTGCAGTACAGCAGCAGTTAAATTTAGTATTTCCTTGTCACTAATTCTGGGAAGGAGCTGAGAAGCTTTCTCCTATTCATTTCAGTCAAGAGGCTTTGAACTGGAAATGGGAGGAAAGCTATTTCCATTATCTAAATGAGAGTAAATGTTGTCATTGCCAGAAATACCAGTAATAGTCTATCTTTGCACACATCACCTTGAATACTGTTTTTCCTGGCAGCTGAGAGGTGAAAGAAATCTTACCAAGAGATTATATGGAACAAAATGCTAAAATGTCCTTCTTCAGTATTATCCTCATTGTGGTATAGTCGGGGCTAAAAAACTCACTTTTGAGCTCTTTTTTTGTTCAAGTAATCTTAAGTCATACAGCAACAGCTACCTTGGAAGTTCTGCAAATGCTTTTCAAATAGCTGCTGATCATGGAAAAATCAATTCCTTTTTCAAAGGTTGCTGTCACTTTCACAGAAATTTTCACTCACTTTCCCATCACTGATCAACTGTTTTTTGGCATCTGAGAGAGCCACTGTATTTTTTGTTTATGAAGAGGGCAGCTGCCTACACAAGCACTCTTTTGGGTGCTTTGTCTAACAGGAAAGAATATACTGGCTGCCAGTGCACAATGTATGAGCTGCTTCCTGTGTTTGGTCATGTCTGGGGTTTTTTGATTGAGTTCACACAATAGGTGACACATGGCAGCTTACTTCTTTTACTTGGGAAAGCTAGTAATTATTCCTGATTCAAGTAAACATTTGATTGTCCTGCCTACCCAACTATAATCTTTCTTTCAGCTCCACAGTTTTATCAATGGATTGGGAACAAAGATAATTAGTTGCATCTTCAAATACTGTTATGTGAGTCCAGCATTGGTCAGTCCAGTTCACCCTGATGTACTCATAGTCTAGAGCAGACTTGCTTTGCTTCATCATGCCCTCTGCCTTTATGAACCAGGAATGTGGAGGCTGTGTGTTTTAGCTGTTTTATTCTTTGGTATGTAGTTTAACAAATGGTGAGTCTCTTTCTTCTCACTGAATTCAGCCAGAAATTCTTAAGTTACTCTTAGACCTTATTGCTTCTCTTCCTTCATTTGCCCAGTCACTGGCTTCTTTTCTGAAGAGGAAAATCAGGTTGTCTTTGGCTGCCAGCATCATGTCCCCCTTCTTTGCTCGCACTGGCACCTCCCATTAGGTTCCTTTGGATGAAATGCACATTCTGTACCTTGAAATGGAAGAATCACTCATGAGGGACAGGGAATTGCTTTTAGAAGAGAGAGCTGTTTAGTAAGTCACTTGCCTTCTTTTTTGAAGCTAGCCATAATTCACTACCAATGCATCAACTGTTGCCAGTTACATAGCTCTCTAGAGCTATGAGAGAGGGCTACGTAATATTTTCGATATGAGAAAGGTGAGAGACTTTGGAAAACAACAAGCCCTTATTCTACAGCTAGCTATTAAAAATGCTGAGAATAGGATAAACACCTGGTAAGATTTAGATAAAGTATCTTTAGTACCTACATGAAGGCTTAAATTGTTTTACTGTTGGAGCTGACATCTGTAATCTTCATGTGGGCCATGCAGAAGAGACCTGGTAACATGCAGTAGACATTGGAGTGTTTAATGCAGTTGAGAAGTGCTGGTTTCTCTTACCATAAAATTGAATTGAGTGACCTAAAGATGAGAGAATTTCATGCTGGACCTTGAACTGCACTGGTATCTTTTGCTCCAAGAAAAGGCATTGCCAACAATACAAGGAGAGAATTATGTCTGAGTAGAATCAATCACCAGAATGGTGGTTTAAACAAGCATTACAGGGAACCTGAACATGTAAATTGCTTTCTTTTGCACCTTTACAATCTTCTGACTGTTTTCAGTTGATGTGCCTTCCTTTTTACTTCTGTAATATATGTGACATTAAGTCTAATTTGGTCAAACTGAACAGATGTCATAGAGTATCTTGACAAATGTAATCCATGGCAGTGGAAGAAAACTTCATCTACTCAGGGCCTGTTTTTTCATACATAGCTTCCTGATTGTCATAAATCAGAGGTTATTTGTTTCCTATAGAAAGTAGCTCCAGAAAGACCTGAGAAGCTAAAAACTGAGAAAACATACTGCAGTTCTGACTGCCAAATCTTCCTGTAATGTGGGAATGTATTTACACTCTGCCTCAGAGAAAAGTCAAAGCAGAATTAGTTGCACTTCCCTGATACTAGTCAGATTGCTTGTACATATTAGTCTTGCTGCTCTTCATGACTTGCAGGGTAAGAATGTTACAGAACTGAGCCTGGAAAAGCTTGCATGTGCAATAGGATCCTGAAATGAGCTGCATAAAGATGCTCTGTAGGTACTTTTAGGGCTTCCTAGTAGAAACATCTCATACATACTCTTTGGGTATAGTTTTATGTAAGTTTCTTCTTCATGTGAGACTACATTCTCTTTGCGTTTATCCATCTGATCAGTACTGTTCAGTGTTTTGCCAGCCTAGCATGTGCTTGCATCTCTATATGCTCTCATTGTAGTCTGACATTTTTTGTGTGCCTCTAAGTGCACTTCTTGTGTGCAGCTAAGTGGGTTCTCATCTTGTGATTCGTAACATAAATGTGGGTCTCTTTAATCGTCTTGTGCCTAAATTACTGGATGTGAGGCAGAATCCTGTGTGTTTTGTTGTGGCAGCTCTTTTTTGTTTGGGAATTCC